AGGATCGCTGGAGCCCAGCAGGTCGACACTGGGATGGCGGTGAGCGAGTGTGCCACTGCACTCCAGACTGGGCAACGGAGTGAGACTCCAACTCAAAAAAAAAAAAAAAAAAAAAAAAGTCCAAGTATATTCTCTTAAGACAAAGAATATTTTATGTGGGAAGATGTGAAAAGAAACAATGAAATAATTTTTCATATAAAGCACTTGAAAAACTACATCAGTGCAGTTCATTTCTGAAGCATCTTTCTCTTTTCAACCAAACAAAAATCAAATGATGGAAAGCTAATGGTCCTTTGCATTTGCCTTACCCCCTTCAACACAGCTACACAATGGACAACATACTATTAGGAAAAAATACGATATATGTAAATGAAGGACTTAGCTGTTTGAGATCTAGAAGGTAAACCAATGGTTGTGAAAAACGAACCTCCCCAGCTGTCATTTCTAAATGACTTAAAATTTTATCTCTCTAAAATTCTGTTCTTCCTACACAAAGAGTAACATCCAATATTCTTTCTCAAAAAGAAAAGTCTAGACTTGCACTGCCCAGTACAGTAGCCATTAGCCACACGTGACTACTAAGTATCTTATGTGTGGCTAGTGTGAATTAAGATTGGTAACAGTGCTACATTTTATATAGAAAGAACGGCATATTGCACGTATTGGGTTAAATAAAATATATCATTAAAAGTAGTTTCACCTGCTTTAGATTTTCACCTGAAAATTTAAAATTACACATGAGGCTTGTACTATATTTCTATTGGACAGCACAATATTAAACACAAGCCAAAAGACTAGAACAGAAAAGATATCAAGTAGCTATCATTCTTTTGTAGTACGTCATCAATGAGCTTGTGCAAAGTTATTTTCATGAACTGTTCCAGTAAAGTAAAAAAGATTAATGATGTAAGCCTGATTTTAGTAACGATGACGAATCTTAAGAATTAGCTTAACTGATCCACTCAAACCTTTCCTTGAAAGTCCTAAACTCTTACCATTCCTCCCCACATCCCACTTTTGGTAAAAATCCATTAGTCACAGAACACTTACAGTAAATTGTTTCAGGAAAATTTAGTTGTCTAGGTTAAACTCAATTTCTCAATGTTAACACTAAGTGATCCCACAGTTAACTCTGGTTGACCAAAGACCCACTGCTTAATGTTAACAAGTAGGAGAAATGGGTGTGGCATAAAATTCCAGTTCTCTGAGCTAGATGGATATTCAGCAGAAAAGGCAATTATCCACAATGCAGCAAAAGCAGATCTCACTGCTTAAGTGCCTACTTCAACTGCCTGATAGCAGTTTAACTACACTAAGGCCCAAGTTATGAAATCTAGAAATCTACCTGATATTCTTCAGGTATCGATTTTAATGGAAGTACCACCAATGGACTATGACATAAAAGTAATAATGTCATCCTTCAACATTTGCTGAACATGATACTAACACATCATTTATTTAATGTTTCTATAGTGATGGAATGAATGGACATCAGTTCATTAATACATTTTTAACTAAATTATTTGTGGGATGGAGGAAATACATTTACAAGACAGGTAAGTAGAGAAAAGTGCAAACTTTGGCTGGAGAAGAAAAACTCTGAGAAGAACTGAAATTGTTACTCAGGCTTCTATAACCAAGTAACTCAGCACAAACGAAGTTTTCCTGGCTACAGAAAAAAAAAAAACTTTTGTAAGGAAAAGGTTCTAGAAATTCTGTGGGAAAATTTTCCTTATGGTTGACGAAATCTTAATACATAGTTGTCAGAGGAATGTCACAAAATATAGGGACACAAGGCTTGGTTTCTAGTTGTAATTTTGCTGTGCATGTGTAACATGCATGACACCACTGAGAATTAGGTAGTTGTTTTAGCTCAACTTCCCTTCAGTGCCAAACATCTATAAATAATTTTAAGATCCAAGATGAAAAGACCCACCTACTACCATCACTCCAGACAGAAGTGATCTGTACCTATTCTTTTCATTTTTTTGTTCTTTTTGGACAAAAAGGGTATAAGCCAACCTAAACTTTTATAAAACTTGTTTGTACCATTCAATCATAATGGTCATATGCTACTTAGACTCCTTAGCTCCCCTATAGAATCTACATTTTTGGAATAATGTCTATGTATCCACTAATATAAATTATTATCCCTGTATAGTCCCTAATACACTGTCCTGCACTTTTTTTTTAAGATACTATTTTTTTCAGCCGGGCTCGGTGGCTCAGCCTGTAATCCCGCGCCTTTGGGAGGCTGAGGTGAGTGGATTGCCTGAACCCGCGGGGCTCGAGACCCGCCTGGGCAGGTGAGACCTCATCTCTACAATAAAATCAAAAAATCAGCCGGGTGTGGTAGCACACACCTGTAATTCCAGCTACTCGGAAGGCTGAGGCAGAAGGATCGCCGGAGCCTAGCAGGTCGAGGCTGCGGTGGCCGGGAGCGGCCACTGCACTCCAGTCTGGGCGACAGAGTGAGA